GATCTTGTTTAATTCTTCTGCAGATAGTTTTCCAATTTTGCCAACACCATTTGTTAAAAAGGCTGTCATTTCCCCACCTAACTGATTTCATCTCTTTGTCAAAAATCAATTGCCCATAAATAGATGGGCTGATTTCCGGGTTCTCATTTCTATTCCATTGATCTATGTGTCTGTGCGCCCATATTTCGTTATACTCATCTCTATAGTAATCTAAATGTTTTGCTAAGTCCAGAAACTGATGTGATAGATCAGACCACATAGTACTATGTTAGGGAAGTCAAAAGGTTACAATCCAGGTTAGTAACAGAATACCATCAGGATGGCTCCCATATGTGCTCATTATCCCCTCAGTCTTGAGCCTCCCGGCTTTAGGCCGCTATTACAAAGTTCTCAGTGCTCTGAATTAGGGCCCACACCTTCTCTTGTCCAACACATTCGGGCAAATGCTTTTAGTTCCAGTGGTGTAGCTGTCCCAAGGTCCCATCTCCTGTCAGGTCTCCGGTTCTCTGTTCCACGTCAGGTCTGTTTCTCTGCTGTGGCTGGTGGTCCTGTAAGCTCTCTTGCTTGCTCTTTTCCTGGTGATGAGGTTTCTTCACCGGTGGTAGGGAGCTCTCATTCTCTTGCTGCTGGGTTGCTCAATTTAATGGTGAGACTAGCCAATTCCCTTGTGGATTGGTAGATAGCTGGTCCCCTTGTGGATAGCCTGACATGCTACATTTGCATATCCCCACCCATCTTCATGTCAAAGTCAAACTACAGCTACGAGAGTCATATTGAAAAATAAACTCCACAAAATACAAATAGTAAATTTCATCTTCCTTTCTAATGTTTTATCTTTTTTAAAATCTATTGTGGCAATTAGGCTCTGGAATAATACTGAATAGTAGCAAAGATCTTTTAATTCTTAATATGTTTGAGTGTGAGTGCATGTACTTACATAACTTAACTACTGACTTTTATTGGTTAGATTATTAGCTCCAGTCATTAAACTTTACTCAGATTTGTCATATGTTAAACCAGATTATTTGGGGAAGTGTAAGATTTTTTTTCCTAACTCTGGGACAGTAAGAGCATTACCTTTGGCTTAGTATGGATGAAGTAATACATACAAACTTTGTAAGCAAACTAATATAAAATTTAAAAAAAGAAGTAACCATTCTCTGAATCCATACCAGGAGGTAAAAGATCAATAAAATGTCATAAAGTTATGACTAATGGAAATAGATTGTGATGATGAGTGTGAATAAAATTAATGCAACTGAAATGTACATTTCAAAATGGCAAAATTTAGTTACAATTTTCTTACAATAAAAGTTGGATTTCAGAATTATATGACATAATATCATTTGTCTGACACTTGAAAATGGCTACAGTTGGCTTTCCTCAATATTCACAGAAAGGGAAAATAGGTTAGGTTAGTTATTTTGCACTCCACATGGTTTGGAGGTGTGCGTGCCAGCTGTCTGAGAGGCTGACCTTATTGTGCATCACAACAGCCTGTCACCCTGGAACCTGCTGGTGACGCTGTGTGCTGCTGATGTTCATCACGTCAGCCCTGTCACCCCTTGTAGGCAGGACTCTGCTGTTTGACCCCATTTGCTGCTGGTGAGAGTTAGACCTCTCCCGGCATCACGTCAGACCAGTTACCCCTCGTAGGTAGGACCCTGGACCCTGCTATTGACACCGTGTGCTGATGCTATGAATTAGACCTCCCTCAGCATCACATCAGCCCCATCACCCCTCGTAGGCAGGACCTTGACCCTGCTGGTGACACCATGTGCTGCTCATGTGAGTTATACCTCTCCCAGCATCACATCAGCCCATCACCCCTTGTAGGCAGGACCCTGGAACCTCCTGGTGATGCTGTGTGTTGCCGGTGTGCATTACATCAGCCCCGTCACCTCTTGTAGGCAGGACCCTGGACCCTTCTGGTATAAATTAGACCACCCCCAGCATTACATCAGCCCTGTCACCCCTTGTAGGCAGGACCCTGCTGCATGGCCCCATTGTGCTGCTGGTGTGAGTTAGACCTCCCCCAGCATCACATCAGTCCCGTCACCCCTCATAGGTCGGACCCTGGACCCTGATGGTGATGCCATGTGCTGGTATGAGTTAGACCTCCCCAGCTTCATCTCAGCCCTGTTACCCCTCATAGGCAGGACCCCTCTGGTGACAGCATGAACACTGGCAGTGTGAGTGGAGCACATCTGTTTGAAGAAGGCTGAAGGTCAGGTATAACAGATTGTTCAGAAGTGTCTAACTTGGAGTTAATTCTCTTTTATATACAGTTTAACTAAATCTGGACAATAGATAGCCATAAATTATAATCTCAAATGTAATCAAGAGCTAAAAGATCTTGGCTAATTTTCTTTGACTTGTTAGCTATTTCTCTTTCATAAAGATTACACTTTGGATAATTACTTCAGTGTACTAGAAACATGAGAAGATTTTATACTTAAACCCAGAGAAAAATTTACTTTTTATCTACGTCTACCATGGACTGCCAGGAAAACAAACAGATTCATCTTGGAGAGGATTAAACCAAGCTACTCCTTGGAGGCAAGGATTCTGGGGCTTCGTCTGACAT